AAAAATTATAGTTTTGAAAATTGAGATAGGTGAAATGTAGCCTACCTCTATTATATAACTTTTCTAATTGAGAAGCAAAAGATGGATTAGAATCCCCCAAATTTAGTTTTCTCTCTCTTAAATATCTCCCTCTATCTAGTTGGTTGATCTTAAGGGGGAAGAAAATTATTTTAATAAAATAAATTGATTGAAAATTGATATTTTAATAAATTTGGGTCGAGTATCGTCTAGCGCCATAGCATTCCCAAGGAAAAAAAAGTTAGATTTTCTATTCATACACACAAACCCTTAGGACTTGCTTCATAATACATTCAGATACTCGCATGCATACATAACAATCACATAAGATATAAACAGGGGCGGAGCCACAATGGGGGCACGTGCCCCCACTGGCCCGAATTTTTTTTAGTTCAAGTTAAATTATGATATTTTTATTTATATATAAAAAAAAACGCAGCACATACATGCAGATAAACTGCTCGGTCGCCCAAGTCCTGTCTCTCCCGACTCTCCACTCTCCACTCTCATCTTTTTCTTCTTTTCTGCTACCCCTCTTCTCCTTTAACTTCTCCGCCAATCCACCATCCTCTCTCTCTCTCTCTCTTCTTTGCATTAGCTTTACACGGATTAGGAAGACAAGAGTGGAAGGAGTTAAATGACTGGAATGCCCTTCTTATTTAAAATTGATAAGACAGGTTGAATCGAAACCTACCTGTTACTGCCATAAAAAATAAAATATGGAAATGTAATTGACATAAATAGTTAAATACATATATATTATATTTCTAGAAGTTTTAAAGCGTTTTGTTAATATTATGGTATTGTGTTGCTTATTAATTTTTAATTAAATTATTATTAAATCCAACAAAAATAAATTAGAAAATTTAGTGCAAATTTTTTATATATGACATAAATTAGCAATCAATAATTTTATTAAAATATTCCACGTTAGAAAATTCTTAATTTTTTATCATTAAAAATTAATATATATACATATATAAAGAAAAAATATGTATATTAATTTTTTTTTATAAAATTAACAACTAAATATTTAAAATATTATAAATTTTTGTGTAACAATTAATAGAATATAGAATTTAAAATTTTATTAAAAATAAATATTAATATTCTTAAAAGATAAAAGTATTATTTCACTTTAGACTCTTAAATAGAAGGACAAAAAAGTTAATAAAAATATATTATGAGTATATTAAAATTTATTAATTTGTGCCCCCACTGATGAAAATTTCTGGCTCCGCCCCTGGATATAAATACGTAAAGTTTAGTGTGTTACCCTTATTAAACTAGGTCAAAAAAGGTGCAAATGCATACTACCCTCGAGCACCGCCGGTCGCCCTACCTCCACCATTGTCATTATCTTTAAATTTTACACTACTTTCATTTTACCTCCAAGTTAAAATAAAAAAATCACATTCTTTTATTTTACATTCATCTAAACAACTTCAAAACATTTATTTTACACTCCATTCCCTTTTTAACTAATTAAAACAACTAAAAAAAGATTTGATGAATTAATAATCAATATTATTATATTAATAGTAACAATCATTATCTTAGTAAACTATATCAATATATTATGTATATATATATATATATATATATATATATATATATATATATTATGCTTTATACAATGGTGGAGCAAGAAAATATTTTTAGGGGGGGCCTAAATTATTTTTTTTTTAATTTTCCTTCAACTTTTTACATTCAGACTTGGATGAATATATTCAGTTATAAAAATGATAAAACTTTGATAGTGAATTAGTTTATTTTTTTCCTTCACCAAATGACTTACAAACATTAAATCACTTGATTACTGCTAGAACGGGTTCAATATATTAATTAAATACATGATATTAAAAATCTTATTGCACAAAAATAAATCATAAAATCTCTTTAAGATCGAATCAATACAGGATTAAGCTAATATCAACCAAGAAAAAAAATGTAAATGAATAGGAAATTAAATTTGGAGTGATTTGAATGGACGGCCGATGTTAAATCTCTTGATCGTGAACCGTTTATTGAGCATTTAAATGTCTTAGTGATATTAGAATTCGGCGATTTTGGGCTCGTTGGATTCGTCTCGTTTAGCCTCTCAATTCGACTATAAGCATTTCATGTTTGGAAACCATTTGGTAATCCAAATTATGGCTTAAACCTTCCAAATATGCTTCGAGTCTTTGATTTTGGGTCATTTGGGTTCGGATTGAGTCGAATTTGGTGCCGTCGGGTTCGTATTTTCGAGACGTTCAATTCGATTTTAAGTTTGCTGAAATCGGAGTTCAAATGGTCTCCGATTTAATTTTTGAAGTTTCCAAAATACAATCATAAATCAAATAAGAACTTGAACTTCAAAATTTCTATCATCCTTACTTACATGATAGAAAAATGTGATGATGGCTGGTACAATAAATCCAACCAATGAGTGTAGAACATCACAATACGATGTAAAGCTACATGACCACACTTTAGATTAGAAGTTGCCCTTCGGATTTGGACATGGGAAGCCCTAACTTGCATACATGAAAAATATCAAGTTTTCTTTACTGGTTGTTTGAATCTGAAGCTACTTTTCTAAGCATAATATTCTCTTTGATGTTGATTGATACTAATCTTTTTTACTAGCTTAATTAAAATAGGGTACTTTATGGGTGTTATTTACATGGAAGTCACAAGTAAAAATGTCAAACATAGCCTTCATTAGCTCATTTAATTTGCTTTCAAGGTGATGGATGTTGTCATCTTTTTCTCTTGATTATGACAACTCATATGGTGGATTAAGATGGCTCTTATTTTCACCTGCTTCTTGATTTCTTTCCTCAACTATATGATTGGCCCGTGATATTTAGCTACTTATTGTAATGACCTGAAATTGTCTAAAAAAAATTTAAACAAAAAATCTATATTATTTGAACTAGAGCTATGCGACACTATTCTTCGTGGCGCTATTCTTTCCTCAATGTTGTTGAGAGCATTGCAGCATTGAGGTTGTGGCACCCCAACGTTGAGCTCTTCGGTTTTTGGACAAAAAAGGGGTTTTTGGATGAGTATTGTGGCATTGGGTTGCTCCGCCACTGCACTGGGCCTCAGGTGGCGAGCACAATAGTACTAGGTAGATGAGCGTTGTGACACTAGGTCAAAATAGTAGTTTTTAAAATAATAAAATATCTTAATCCATTCACTTAAGCCATTCTATCCTAGCTATCCCCCATTCATGCATGCCTTGCCAAGGAAGAAAGGAGGAGTGAGAGAGAGAGGAGAGAGAGAAAATCATTTTGGCCATTTCCTTCCATCAATTTTAGTATGAGATTTCCTCTTATCATGATAGGTAATCCGAATCCAACCCTTATTTTCAGTCGTTTTGTGTTTAATGAATTTAATCTCCTCTAAATTGATAAAAATATATTGTATTCAGATTTACCAAACTTTTATCATGTGACTTTTTTTATATGATAGATATGATTCTCAGGAGCATTTTGATTGTAATGTTATTGAATTTCACGAGGTAAATTGATAGTTATAATTTTATGTAATAGTGTATAAATTTTATATATGTAATAGATTATTACATCTCATACATTGATACTAAATTTGCATAGAAAATGATATGACTGATATAATATAAATATGACATTGTAAGATATGTTAGCTAATTATAAAATAATTAAGGTTGGCTAATTATATAGGAGGGTGGATTAACAATCTTTCCTTTAAATTATGTGTTATAATGTAATCCCAATACAAGATAAAGACTCATAAGGGGACAAGGTACTTTAACAAGCAGGAGTGTGACTCTTACAAGATAGCCATTTGACACCTAATGCTTGATACTGAAACAAAATATAGAAAATATCATATACCTAACTGAATGTCATGTCTTACAATTTATAATTGTCTCCATGTTTACATGTATTTACATAAGAGCATATGAATTAATTGATAAATAAAAATGATATAGAATTGATTAAACTACTATTGAGACTAATATAACATGACATATCATGTGACTGGGGCACTGATAAATAATGATAGACATATTAATACAACACACCTATACGATATGCTGGTATAACATATTGATACATGACCTAATAATTCATGGAAGCATCTAATATAGCCACCAACATGCATATCACTGATAGAGAATTGAGGCTCATTTTATTGTACAATACCTGTTATTGATTGATAGACTTTTTATTGATTTTATCATAGATTGATGGTATTCTTTTGCTTTGTGAGATATTCTAGTTTTACAAATCATCTTAATTTATAATTGTAATTGATATTGATTTCATAGATTGATTTTTGTTCATTTTGATAGCATAATAATTGATATTGATTTGGATTGGGCAAATTTTTTTATCTTGCAAATGCATTGGTAGATTTTTGTTGCCCATTGAGCTTTGCTCATTAACCACCAACCTAGGAGAGCTGTAGGTTAATATATATAGTAATTAATTTAAAAACAAATTCAACAAATATATTATCTCCCTTCATCTATGTTTTGTTCGTTCACATTGGCCTTTTTTATATGCATTGAGCATATACTTCATTGCTATTTCTTAATTTGATGGCCATGCGTGTTCATGAAAGCTGCAGGTTAGAAAAGTTTCCATCTTTTTTTTATCATAGGGACTAAAATTACAGCTCAGAGGTAGGCTTTGATGGACGAATTAGAAAAACAGTGGATGAACTGTGGAAGAACTCTTTAATTATTTTCCAAGCGAGTCAGTCAATCTATAATTCAAATCGTTATGGATCCAGCACTGTTGAATTCAGTTCAGACTGATTGTTGGATTGATTTATGCAGAATCTGATAGTTTGCTTGGTATTTTAGATTCAAAATTTAAAATTTTGATATTTTAGATCCAAAGGACTTCACGCCAATTAATAAATAAAGAGACAAATCATAGAAGATTAGTGGGTGCTTAATGAATGCTAATTTGCATATAAAATAGCCGAAAGGAATCTTGCTGTTGATCTGTTCTGAGAGTAAAAAAATGTTTTGGTTTCTTTTTGTCACTCTTCAAGGGAGAGGACAAAGAAAGCGTGGTGTTGCCAACACTAACCCTAAAATTTCGGAGGTCCACTGCTTTATTGCTGTCTTCGAGATCCAAAGACCTCCTCACAGTATATTGGGAACAGTTTCCCGCATTGTGGAGACCTCCTGGAGCACTAATTTTTTGGCTTCCCATTGGTCTGCCGCGCTTTAGCTGGATATGGAAGGTTTGTCTCCTCTAAAGATCCCGTCTTTTTCACGTAGTTTAGCTGCCAATGCGGCTCATTCATGGATTTCTTGGTTCTAAATAGATAGCACGCATTTGTTTTCAAGAAATTACTGCCGAGCTGGTTATTGGTGTTATTGCCTTAGGTATCGAAGGTCTTTGAATTCCACAGAAGAATACTGATCTTTGTTGCGAGGTTTCTTTATAAAGGGAAACTTCTGTCTAAAATTTTCATGAATTCCAAATTTTGTTGAATCTCATCTGTGCCTGTGTGCTTGCAGTTTTTATTTTGGGTTTTACTTCAACTGGAATGGAAATCTATTTTACATTACTGTCCTTTTTTCAATGCCCGCAAATTCAGTAGCTATCTGTGTGTCGTCATTTGGCTATCTCAAGCTTTGCGTTACGAGTTAAAATGCTTTGTTTCATACTTTGCATCACATATTTTACTGCACCAGCGGTCATCTTGAGTGAATTCAGGATTCTTTTGAGCTTTCAGGCTTGGGTACTTGTAATAAAGTTCTTTTGACCTTGAGTTGTCAGTTGAGTTGACAATTACTCCCTAGAGCAGAGACGAAGAACTTGGGTGGGCTCAGAAACTCTTAAAGTGATTTCACAAAATCCAGTAGAAAAAGCCACAAAAAAGCTAAGTGTTGGCATGACTGTTACGTGATAGAGAACAAATTTGAAGGAGATCTTATATGACTTTATATTAATTTGGAGTGGTTGAAGGGGGAGGGTAAACAATTAATTCAGCAGGCACGAGTCATTTAAAATTCTCTAGATGATTGAGGAAATCAAATAACGATTGGTATTTCTTATATGCAAGGATATTTATTTTGTGGTGAAAAATTAGAAGTCATTCAAGCCCATAGATGCTGGCGATGAGTTGGATGAATTTTTATCCCCTCTTAATGTCTGCAGCCAGATTGAGAGGATCAACTTAAAGAGGATAGACTATTCACCATTGGAGATAATGGCTTGCCATGACATCGAGGTGCTTCACCCAGTCTACAAGAAAGGACTGTTGGCCTCCCAAGCAAAATGATCTACTTTGGAGATATGAACAACCTTTTTCCCTCAAATTCAGTTGATTCAAAGGAGAAGAGGGGAGGAGGACATGATCAGAAGATCAAAGGATTAGTTGAGATGTCTAACTTGTTACTGAGAGGAATTTGTCAAAATTGATAAGAATCAATGAGGACAAGTGGAGCTCAAAAAACTTTGGGAAGAGTTCTGCATCGAGAGTCACATAACTTATCCTCAGTTCCCCAAAGTTGGTGCCACTTTGTTGTAACTTTATCAAGCTTAACCCGAAAGAATAGGGTTTTGGAAACATTGCCGCAATCTTGTCACGCACTCGTCAACGAGATTCTATTGCAACTTTTGCACTTCTTTTTTGTTCGAGGGTTTCAGATGGGAGGGGGGGATTTTGATTCTTAGGTGTAATGCGTTGAAAATTAATTTATGGTCACACATTCGTCGGCCAGTTCCTATTGCAACTTTTGCACTTCATTTTTGTTAGAGGGTTTCAGATAGGAGAGGGGGGAGGGATTTTGATTCTTAGGTGTAATGTGATGAAAATTAATTTCTTGTCACGCATTCGTCAGCCAGATCCTATTGCAACTTTGCACTTCATTTTTGTTAGAGGGTTTCAGATAGGAGGGGGGGGGGGGGGGGGGGGGATTTTGATTCTTAGGTGTAATGCGATGAAAATTAATTTCTTGTCACACATTCGTTAGTTAGATCCTATTGCAAGTTTTGCACTTCAATTTTGTTAGAGGGTTTCAAATAGGAGGGGGGGGGAGGATTTTGATTCTTAGGTGTAATATGATGAAAATTAATTTCTATAATTAGTATTAATTAAGTAAAAAAAGATGTTCATCAAATTAATATTATTTATGATATAATTTGATTAAATATAAATTCTTATATTTAATTAGATTTATAAATTATAAATGATATAATTAGTGTAATTATAATTGCTAATAAATTTTTAATTAAAATATTAATATTTAATTAAATAAATCATATATAGATATATTATTCTATAAAATTAAATCAACATTAATGATTGATATTAGTAAATAAAGAAATTGATATTTATTATTTAATTTGACTAAATTGAAATTGTTAATTAATTATCTTAGTAAAATTGAGATATTTTTTCATGCTAATTATGATTTAACTAATCTAATTAATATTGATATAGGCAGATTAATATACTAAAATATCAAAATCATACAAATTCTTAGATCCTTAAATAATTTGCCAAATAATTTGTGTAGATTTAATAATATTTAATACTTATCTCATCAAATAATTTTTAGGATTTAATTCACACAGGATTTACTAAATCCATATTTACTGAATTTACTAAGTCCTACTTAAGTGAAATCATATTTGCAGCCAACTACCCTAATGTAACTGTCTAACTGACATCCATCTCTTCTATAAAGGGATGCCATAGTAAATGGAAGGGAGGAGGAACTTAGAGGATTATAGAGTGACTAAGAGAGAGATGACTCAAGGAAGTGGGAGAACTTCTACTTCTTCCTTGCTTGGTAATTGCCTAGTTTACCCCAATTCGCTTGTTTAGCATGTCGGTTGGATCTCCATTCTCCATTCGGTGTTTAACAGGTGGGGTGGGACTATTCTTGATTTTCTTTTTCAAACTTCTTTTTGTTTTAATTTCCACAATAAATTTTGGCTTTGGCAAATCTGCAAGCTTAAGTAGTTTTATATTGCATTGGCGGCTTAGTTGTATTTATATCTTAAAGGCATTTTTTTTGTAATTTAAAGAACATATATTTTTGGATTTTGTTTGTGCTATAAGATTGTTGGTTTCAGTAGATCTAAAAGTTTTCGTTGAAACACTTCACTTAGATGAAAATATGAAGATGTGTGGTGTGTTCTCTTGTGGCTTCCTTCTATTGTATTTCCTTCAGCGGTCTAGCCATCTAGGAGTGGTGCCTTCTTGGATTACAATTGTGTCGGTGATTGACTTCCTTTAACTGCATTGTATTGTATCTTATATTGGTTTCTTCCATTGCTATTTTTTCCCTTAAACATGTACTGTAGCTGTGTTCTGCTATTAGTTTTTTTTTTGGCATTATGTTATTTACATGGTAAATTGCTGGTAAGGTCTGAAATTGAATTTTTTTGCCAAACCAAGATTTAAAACTTCTTGTTCTTAGGGGAATTCAAGTGTGTTGAATTTATACTTGTAGGATGTTCTTTGAGGATTCTTAGAAGTTATTTATTTTGGATTATAAACAAGACCCTTTGGGCATATAAAAATTATCAAACATCAGATAGTGAAATAAAAATTCAATTTACTTTTCAATTCTCGTTTGTGCGCTTGCGTGTATACTCTTCCGAGTTCTTTGTAAGCCTTGACAACAACTTTCGTGGGATGAATTTCTTTGTATCAACTTGTGATTTCTCACTTGGTGATTTTTTCTAAATTGTTTAGTGTTGGATTAACTTGTATGATTGAGATATTGCCAAGTTTGATGTGTCATATTTTTCTTGGTGTGAATTTTGATTATTGCATAATTTATATTCTTTCTCAAATTTCTTATGAAATTTCAGATTTCAAGTGTCTTTTATATTATCAACTTGTTGTTTTCAAGTTTTTTTAAAGTGGGACAAAGGCTTGATGTTGTTGTTGTTGTTTTCAAGTTTTTTAATGATTGAAGACTTTTCTTTGAGAATGCAATTCTATTAAGTGTGGCAATTTCTTGGTCCTATGTTAACATGATTCATTTTATAGATTCTTATGATCGAAGCCTTAAACCTCATTATATGTATGAATTCAGGACTCGGATATTGGACGAGCTGAATGCCGATATAGAAATTATTGAGGAGATCAAGAGAACTTGATCACAAACTGGCACAATGGTTGGTCTAATATTAAAAGTAGGAACTTGATCAACACTCTAATGAAAAATCTCTATAACACTCTCCTTTTGAAGTATGATGAAGGTTTTGATCAGGTGACGAATGCAGAGTACATTTTCAAACTAATTGATGAAGTTATAAAGTATATTGGATATGATATAACTATACAAGTTGTCACTGACAATGCAGTGATTATATGATGGATGGAAATAAATTAATGGAAAAGAGAAAGCATCTTTATTGGACTTTCTGCCACTCATCGTATTGATTTAATTATTGAAAAACTTAGAGATATGCCTTAGCATATGATTGCTTTGACTAATGGCTAGAATATTAGAAAGTTCATTTATAATCATAGTTTGGTTTTAGCCTTGATGAGGAAGTTCACTAGAAAGAACTCATAGGACCCAAAACTACCAGATTTTCTACAATGTACTTATCTTTACAAAGCATCCTATAAGCAAGTAAACCTTTTATGGTTATTATGCTTGGGCTAAAAAACTTGAAGGTAAAGAAGCGAGGAAAATTATCTTGCGATTTTGGTAAGTATAATTTATGCTATTACTGTAAAACCCCTCCAAAGCTGATTTTTTTGAGTGCAGTTAGTCCGTACGATCTGGCCTTAGTCCCGGACGAACTGAAGAAATTGTGAAGAAATCTGTCAATTTCGTGTGTACGAACCTGGAAGGGTCGAGACGATCCGTCTGGACGAAATTTGTCCAGAGAGCAAGTCGTCCGGACGTTATTTAATTTCATCTGGACGAAATTCTGCCCAAGGGCAAATCGTCCCGGGACGAATTTTGGATCGTCCGGGACGATCTGTGTTAAGAAATATCCGATAGAGATATTTTGAAGAGAGAGAAAGAGAAATCAGGAGAGAGAAAGAGAAGGAAGAGAAGGAAAAGCTTGGTTTACGAGTGGCCTAACGGCTCCTGCTGTATGCTATGAATCAAGTTTGTTGTTTGTTTACGATAAGCCAGCGCCCAATAGAGCCTAGCCCGGACGGACCAAAATGGTCTAGCGAAGCCGGTCCCCGCTTGGTGTAAGTACTTCTCGAACTTGATTGAAAGCAGCACAGCTTTTCAGGAGAGAATCATTTAAAATCTCTCTTTCTTTTCTTTATCGACTAAAGATTCATGGTATACTTTTTCTACACACATTTTTATTGATTGTTTTGGTGTTCAGTCGAGCCTTCATCGATCGGAACAACAAAAGAAACTTTGAGGGAGCTACGCTATACATAATACTAAGGGACCCAGGCTCTGCCCGAATGATACGATCAGCAACTTCTAGTACCCAAGCTGATTCTGCTCAACTTCAGAGGACTCTTCCTCTACCTTGTCTGCCCATCCTGCCGCCACGATACGGCGTAGGAGGTACTGACGTCGGCAGTCGGAATTCAGGTGCTACCTTTGGAAGCTGAACCTGGGGCTTACGAGGTCCATCCTCACCCTGTTGGCGGGGAAGGTAATGCCCTGCATCCTCGTACAAGCCGATTTCATACACTGCAAACGGTTGGGTATCACCCTGTATACAGTACTCAAACCCGTCACGCTGATATTTCATACATTGATGAAGCGTTGAGGGAATCATCCTGTACTCATGGATCCACGGAAAGAGAGGAACCCACAAAAGCCTACATAGCAGTTCAAGTATCTAGTGAGTAGGGCGTCGTGCCAAGAAAAGCAAAAATCTTTCTCGACTTCTGCTAATTCAACCATTGTTAACCAGTCAGCGCGGGAAATAGCTTTAGCTCTAATCAACCGAAAACTGCACCTATATATTCAGAAGGATCCACTGCGTAAGTCAAACTAGAGCTTTTTTCGCCAAGTTCTATTTAGTCAATTACCAAGGATCCAAGCTCATTGAAAATGGTTAATAAAGCTGGGTCGGCAGTACGATCTTTCAGGTCAAGGAAATTGATGTACAAACCATTTGGTAGCTTCTAAGTTCCTAAAAGATAGTCATGGTATACCCGGTTACCTATAAGTATGAGAATCTCCCATTCATGAGAAAATAAAGCAAATTTCAATTGGAAATTAAGAGTAAATCAAAGATTGTACTTGTTAAGTAAGACTACTGTATTGTATTGCATGCGTACAGAACTGTTCTTATGATTTCTTGATGGATTTACTGTTTTATTGAGATCGATTGATTCCTTGATATAGAATTGATTTATCGATATTGAATGGATTTAACGGATTTACGGGTTTACTGTTACTATACGATTTTATTGATATGGCATACGGTACATGTCACTGAACATTGATACTGATACTGATATGGATATGGATGCCTGGGGCGTCACAATTACAACTACGAAGCCTTTGTTCATGTTTTAAGAATGATTGATGCAGAGAAAAAGCCAGCTATGAATGTCATTTATAATGTAATGAATGTGAAAAATGAGTTAATAACAAAAGGCTTAAAGGGAGATGATAGTTTTCATAGGTTTTCATAGGCTTTATTATTGGAGTGATGGCTAGAAATGATTATAGAGGGCTAGTTTATGATGTAGATTGTAGAGGCATGTTCTTGAATTGTTGGTGGGTTGGATTGAAATTTCAATATTTTCCGTTTACATTTTACAAATTTTTTTATTCCTTTTACTTTCGTTTCATATACTTATTAATCTATGTAATCATTTTCCACAAACATATATGTAAGCTTTGATTGCTTAGTCATACTCAATTTAATGTTTATTAGACAATTAATATAAACAAATACATATACATGATATAATATTCAACAATTAAAATGAAGCAAAATGAACTAAAATTGCTATAAAACAATTTAATAACCCACTTTACTTCTCTTTTGAGTGTTGGATTTCTTTCAAATTCTAAGCTTTCTTTAATGCAACTTAATCTTTTCCTAAGAACTCTTGTTATCTTCAGTACATTGCCTTAGCTCAACGATTTGAATCCTTTACTCAATAAATCTTCCCTTCCTTCACTATCAAATCAAGACTTATACCAATTGGATTTTTCTCTTTCTCTGACATTAAAGGTAGAAATTCCGAACTCCTCTTCCTTCTTCTTCTTGTTGCTGAGTACCAAAATTTCGACAACCTCAATAGAAAAGCTTTTTCATCTTTCTCCAAATTCTTTTCACACAAATTCCTCCTTCTCTCTCAATTCCTTCTCTTCGTCATGATTGCCACCCCCTCTTGACTCCTTTTGCTCGTTTCGTCTTTCTCACCAACCTTCGCTCGCCTGTTGAATTGAGGGACATGTTTCATCCCTCAACTATTAAAACTAAATCAAATTAAGTTCTAGAAACTAAAATAAGTGTCAAAGTTAACTCCAAAGTTAAATATGAGGGTAGTTTAAGTAGTAAAAGTATCTATGATGCACTAGCACTTTTCCTTAAAGAGCCGTGCAGTGTACGACACTCCTCCGACACGACACGCGTTTGACACTCATCCAACACATATTCGACATGCCAAAAATGTGTCTGATTTAAAAAAAATATTAAATACAAATTAGAAATGTGTGTCTTAAATATTTTATAAATTTTTTAAATATAATTTATTTTATTTAAAATATAAAAATAAATTTCTTATTTTCTATTTACAACACAAAATCAATCACCCGTACTCAATAACCCATTCATTGAATATTCTCATTTTCATTTCTCTTTGGCGGGTCGCGACTTTGGTTTAACAACAATACTCGATGTCATCTCAACATCGACGTAATGTCTTTACAAGATCGACATTTCAAAACCATCTCGACATCAATGTCTAATACTATCTTAACATTGATGCTCAACACTAATAATTTTTACACCCACAACTTGACAACTTATCTTCGTCCGACATCGTTTTAACATTGATGACTGATGTCCTCTCAACATCGATGCCCGATACTTACTGCCTAACATCGATTCCCGACTCTTGACATCATTGTTGTCTCCTCTCTCGATGTCTGATACACGACATCGATGTCTGACTATTAACATCATAATATTAATCATTTTAAGTACAATTTTCAGTTAAATGAATTATTATTTCTAAATTATTTATAATATTATACTTATTCAACTTTTATACACAAATTTTAAAATATAAAAAAATATAATATCGTATTCAACCCTTGTCCGTGTCCTATATTTTCAATAATTGACGTATCTTGTGTCGTGTCGTATCTGTGTCGCCGCGTCCGTGTCTGTGCATCATAGACAAGTATATGTGAGATTACATTAAATATATTGCTTTATGTTATCATTTAATAAATTATAATATATATTTAATCTATTAAATGATATGTGTGAATAATTACTGGAAAAAATATATTTTTTAAAAGCAAAATCTAAATTGTTTTCTAAGTAATTGATAAGCAAACCTGTCTCCGTCTCTTTGTTAATGTCGCACATTGCTCGCTGTCTCCGTCCCTAGATGTCGTAGCGCATCGTGATTGCTCGGCCTCTCGCATCACTTGTGGTCGCTCGCAGCAACATGCATCTTGTGTCTTGCTTGTAGTGTGTCTGATCTCGCTTGCGACCTCTTGCGTCACTTGCGGTCGCCTGCAGCAGCATGACCTTTCACTCACAGAGCATCGAAGCATGATGCTTTGCTTGTAACTGCAGGTCTTCTGCCTCACACAATTTTGTCTCTAGGTCCGTCTCCAGGAATTATGGCGAGAAGGTGAATAATTAGGTTTGAAGTTTTTTTGCTAAAATGCCCGCAAAGAAGCGAATGCTTGTTGCTTCTTCTGTTAATTTAAATGAAAATTTTACCAGAGGGACATAATTGGACAAATTTTAATAGTTGAGGGACTAAATTGGGGCAATGCGAAACTCTGGGACTAAATTGAATATTTATCAATAGTGGGGGACTATTTTGAGCTTTTATTCTTTCTTTAAAATGTATTTGGAGTTTTAGTGGCTCTTACAATTTATTAGAAAATGTTGTTAATAATGTTAATGAAGGGAAAGTTTAAATAATCATTCGGCTATATGTTTGTGCCTCGTTAATTTGATCGTCTGTTTCTGTACTATCTCTTTATTAGACCGAATCACATTATCGGTTCTTTTTGTGCCGATGTTGGCAGCTCTGATTGAACCGATTTTAACTTCATTCACGCTAACGAGTTCATTGTCTCGACTATGTTGATTCCTCATTTGAACTTCTCGCCTACTCCGGCTCAACATCTACTCCACAATCAAGTTGCTGAGGAATGACAATTGGATATACATTGAGGGGAAGTCTTGGTCTGTTGCTACACTAGACCTGCTTTTATCTTAATAACTAGTCATCAAATTTGAAATATTAATTTTCCCGGCTATTTGTTATATGATTACTATCATCTAAATTTTTTATCATTTAAGAATCTCTTCGACAAAAATCTAAGCAGGTGATAAAAATTACCTGTTCCTTCTAGCAGGATCTCATGCTTTCCACCCACCCATCCATCCATCCATCATTTCATTTTGGAATTCCCTTGACCAAACTAATTATTAAGAAAAATGATCTTTTCCTTTTCATTGGAGGACAATCTTTTCATCATCGACTCATGCATCAATCTCGTTGTGTATGTAGTTTAAGGGATAATAAATAATCTATGAATGTAATAATAAATGAGAGCCTCCTTGGTCTTTTTAATTCCTTTGGTTCTTAATATTCTTATTTATGTATATTTTATGTGCTGGTTATAAAAAAGCAAGTGCTTGAGGAGAGTTGATAGTATTGTTGAGTTAAAAAAAAAAAAATTTTCCGTAAAGCCAATGACTCCTGTGCAAACCGTTAGCTAGAACACAGGTGATTTTGTATAATTCTGATTACGTCTTCAGGTGCTACTGTACTGACGTTTGAGTTGTTCAGCTATCAAGCGAAGAAGGAAAATTTACACTGAATATACTTCTTTCCCTCAGAACCTTCTCTTTCGTCATTTTAAAGCCTTCAGTCAGATTCTATGATTTTGGGAGAAAATGGTAGAAAAATGTGTAGCTCCGAGTAAATTACACTTGAGGAAGGAGCTTAGTGTTCTTCAAAAGGCACGCTTTTTACGTGATCCTGAAACATGTTCATCATGGAGATCTCTTAGTTCTAAATCATTTGTTGCTTGTAATTTACGTCATCAGAATGATATAAGAGATGTCTCAGCTACAGAAAATATTTCAAGTGGATTGCTTGAAATACCTCCTACAAGTGAGAAATCCAGAAAAAAAGTGTACCTTTATAATTGGAAAAATCATTCTAATAAATCTAGTGAAAGCGCAATAAAGTTGAATGAGGATGGAAATCGGCTATCTGTTGAGAGCAGTATTGAAGACTGTGTAAACAGTTCTCACAAGGAAGAGATTGTAGGTGATACGTACCTTTTACCTGCTGCAAATATTTCTAATGTTAGAGATGCAGATCTAGGGACTCCAAGGAAATCTAGTACGAGGTTGAAAAAACCAGCTATTTCTAACAAACGAGGTACAAAGCATGCAGTAATTTTGAAGCAGACGGACCTTCCATCTAGTCCCTTGGGAGTTCTTAGCTCAGTTGAACAATCTGATGATACAGGACATTGCAACAATGAAGATGCACAACATGTTGGGCTTGATCTGCTTTGCAAATCTTCACTTTGTTCTCCTTCTGCATCATCATTGTTTTCTGGCTCTGGATGTGCAAACTGGCCCCGGCCTTCCAAAATATTCAGAAATACTAGAAGAGATGGGTCACCTCATTCCTGTACTCCTGCATCAACCAGCTCTTACTACAGGCATGTAAACCGGAAACCCAGTACTACTGGGTCTTTGGGTGGAACAACTGCTTCTTTTGAATGGGATGAATTCGATCCGCTGGACTTACCCGGGCGTCAAGGATGCGGGCTTCCTTGTTATTGGTCAAAGAGAACGAAAGATAGGGGTTGCAGAGGCTGCTATTCTCCATCATTATGTGATGCTACAAGGAAAATGGGAGGTAGAATTTGTTGTAGGAGCCAGAAAATGTACAATGCAAAACGATCAAATGGCCTTGACAAGCCAAAACACCTTCCAAAGTCTTCGCAAGGCCTGCCTTTGTTAAACAATTACTGTGATGATAGATCAAGTGATGAGCTCTCAACAAATTTAGGGGAGCGTGACTTGGAAGCATTAAGCCGGTTGGATGGCAGGAGATGGTCAAACTCTAAGAGCCAAGAGGCATTTGAAGCAGGAGGAACCGGATCAATTGCCTTGGACATTGGAGATAACAAAAGCTTGAGCGTAAAGTATAAGCCAAGGACTTTTGATGAAATAATTGGTCAGAATATTGTTATTCAGTCCCTTACAAATGCTGTCCTGAAGGGAAAAATAGCACCCGCGTATCTCTTCCATGGACCTCATGGAACTGGGAAAACATCTGTGGCAAGGATATTTTCAGCAGCACTAAATTGTGTTGCTACTGAAGGAAAAAAACCTTGTTGCTTGTGTAAGGCATGTACTGTTTCTCATGGAGAAAGCGGGTTCTTTGTGAGAGAAGTAAGTGCCACCAATAAGATGGGTATTGATAAGGTCAGACATCTTTTGAAAAATATGACTATGACTTCTAGATTATTTCAGTACAGAATCTTTATCATTGATGAATGCCACTTGTTGACCTCTAAAATATGGTCATCATTTCTTAGATTTCTTGAAGAGCCAATTTCTTATGTTGTGTTTGTTTTCATAACAATTGATCATGAAAACCTGCCGCGGGCCGTTATCTCTCATTGCCAAAAATACCAGTTCTCCAAGATTAAAGATGCTGATGTAATACGGCGGTTAAGAAAGCTTTCCGCTGCAGAAAATCTTGAGGTAGAAATGGATTCTTTAAATCTGATCACGTTGAATTCTGATGGTTCTCTTCAAGATGCTGAAACAATGTTATATCAAGTGAGTTTACTTGGGAAAAGGATTACTACTTCCCTTGTAAGTGATCTGGTAAGTCTGCTTCAGGATTATGTTTTGCTATTCTTTATTTCTTTTGATTTGCATACCAAAAAACTCTTTTCCTTCCTATTCTCATTACATGATCAAAGTTCCAAACATTCTCATATAACTTGTTTGAAGATGGAAAGCTACATGATTGAGTTGATATGGTCGTTTCAATTTATTAACATATAATCTCTCCTGCACGCTGTCTTAAATTTCAAATCATTGAAGCTTTCTTTTCGAAAAACACATTTGCTATTACCTGCTAAGGTACCGTATTAGTTTGTAACTTTAATATCTCACACTTTATTTTCATGATGTCTTTTATTTATTTTTGATGGATTACAAGATGCTAAAATATTGTGCAGATTAAACTGATTGTCTGAATTTAAACTGAGTGAAGCTGATGCATGCTTGGTGGCAAATTATCAACTAGGATTTCTGTATCTAACATATTGTTGCTATATGATACTTGAAATGCAAATTTGACAAGCATCTCTTAATTTCCTTTATTATTTATGCTAGTTGCACCTTAAGGCCAGACAAATCTAGTCAAGGGATAGCATTTCTTATTGTCTGTATTTCAGGTGGGAGTTGTTTCAGATGAGAAGTTGCTTGATCTTCTCGAGTTGGCTATGTCATCGAAGGCTGAAGAAACAGTAAAAAGGTCTAGAGAACTTATAGATTCTGGTGTTGATCCAATTGTCCTTGTTTCTCAGTTAGCTGGACTTATGATGGATATTATCGCTGGAACTTATCAGTTAGCTCATTCTCAGTATGAAAATGTGGTCCTTGGAGGGAGAAGTTGTAAGCACATCTCTGGTGTTAATGTTCTTTGTTTTGAGTTGATTGTCTTTATTTAAATTTCTTTGGAATGACATGGATGTAAAGTTGCTAATGCCTTATACAGTGCTTGATGCATAACCGTTTTTGTTGTACCGTTTTGATGATTCATTAATTGATTTATCACTGGGAACTAGTCTTTTTGCTTAGACTTCTGGACTAACCTCTGGACTACATAAAATTTGAAGCTCAAATATCCAGAAGAGAAAGGGGACAGTTAAATTTATGTGTTGGCATTACTATTTAAATGAAAACAAATGCTGAGACATTGGATTCAAATTTATTTGTAGATGATAGCAATATCTTGCTAACAAGAATTGATATAACTCAAAAGGAAAGAGGAGGGAGAAAGAGAAATTAGAGTGAGAAGTTTTGTTGTTTCATTATATTGTTGGAAAGTATAAAACTAGTGTAAATGATTTGAATGTGTTAGGCTTACCCTCCTATCCTCTATTTATAGTTTTGGATCGAGGCACGCCACTCTGACACTACTAAAAGTTGGCTACATACAAGTAAAATTATGTAGCTAGGCTTAACAAGTGCTAGCTACAAAATGAAGGTCTAGCTAGGTTGTAATTATAAAAAATACGCAGTGAGCTCATTATAAGTTCCAAGTGAAGGCAAGTTCTCTGCTGACTTCACTTTGATCTTATGAGTAACTTTGGGTTTTAGAAAAAATTTCTTGGTAAGTTGGGCAAGTAGTCTTGTGACTTTGATGCGGTGGCTAAATAGATTTGGATGCCTAGAAATTAGCAATGACTTCCACTTCATTGTTAATTTGACCTCTATAATTGCCAATCATCTCTTAAATTGGTTCATAATGATCGTCAAAATAGATTTGACTAGGCCTCATTAATTTTGGATTTATATTTAATTTCCCAATTTTTTTCTCTTTGAATGAATTCATACAAGAATAACAACAAGAAGCTTTATTCCACTACGTGGGGTCCGCTAGATAAATTTTTTTCTTCATTGTATCCTATTAATTGTCAAATTCTCATTTAAATCTAAAAAGAAAGTCATTTTTAATAATTTTTTACCATGTTTTTTTGGTGTATCTCTACCTTGCTTAACATATGTTGGATCTGATACATCTACCCTCCTAATTGGTGTTGACCACTGACCAGCCCAAGAATGGCCCCACCTCACACAATTTACTCCCAAACAACACAACTGTTTGCTCAAATGATACAATCGCCCGACCATTTCGTTTCTTCAAAACCGAACAAGAATGGCCCGCTCTCATTCGACACTCACGCATGAAACTCCATCTCCCTCTCATCACTCTGTGTTGCACACAGACACAAGAGGTCAAACATCCCCAATTACCTCTCGCTCTTGTCTGTGACAGGCGCAATATCCCTCCACACTCTATTCTTTTGTGCATCTCCCATCTCTGCATCCCTGTACGCGCATGAGACTATCAGCGTGACCACTCTGTGCATGACACTACCCATGTGACCCAACTCCGTGCACGACAATACCCGAGCAACCTTCCTGTGCAACTTACCTATGTGAGGGATATTGGAATACCATCAGGTCCAACAACTTTTCCATACTTTATTTTCTTTAAAGACTCTCTAACTTCGGTTTTACTAATACGCCGATAAAAACAAAAAAAATTATTTTCATTTAGTGTACTAAAGTCACTAAAGTCAATAGTATTTTTACATTCTTCATCAAAATGTTTAGCAAAATATCTCATCCACCTTTGTTGAATATCATCTTCTAAGAAAAATTCTTCATCCTTAATACACTTGACTTGAACTAAATCCTTACTACTCATATCTCTTTGTTTGACTAATTTATACATATATCTTTCTCCCTCCTTAGTATCTAATCTATTATATAAATCATTAAAAGCTAAGCTCTTTGCATCGCAAATAACTTTCTTAGATTCCTTACGAGTCTCTTTACAACTTTCCCAATTATTAGAATTTTCACATCTAAACCAATATTTATAACAAATCTTCATATTTTTATCTTTTCTTGCACATTTGGATTCTAACACTAGCTATTTTTACTATTAGGAGCTTTTCCCTTCAAAAATCTAAGCACATCTTTTGCAATATTCTTAATATTACTAGCCACTTTTTCCCACATAACATTAGCATCCTCATTTACAGACAAAATCTCGAGATCTAAAATCTTACTTTAAAAAATACTTTTATTAATATTCTTTAAATACCCCAATCTAATCCTAGAATATCATTTTACTTTATTTTTTATTTTTTGTTTTTTTATCTTAAAGTACAAAACTAATAATCGATGTTGGGTACATAAATTTTCTCGGAATAACTTTACAATCTTTGAAATCTAAACAATCTAGTTTTCTTATAAGAAAATAATTATTCTGGGTTTTACTATATCCATTTTTATAAGTGATAAGATGTTAATATCTTTTTTTTACAATCTAGTTCTCTTTTTTTTATATCCTAAACTATCAATCACCTTAGCATTCTCTCCAACTCATTTATTTTTCTGAATGCACATATTATTTATCTTCCTATGAATCATAATATCTATTAATTTCATTAATTTTCTTGTAAGGAAGCATATATTCCAAGTTCATATCCTAATTTTAGTTTCATGGACTAGCTTCTTTGCCCTCATCTGTTCTTGATGTGGAAACCCTTGCCCATTTAACATTGCATCCGGCGTCAGTGCAGCAGTCCTTGCACATTTGTCATTGTATTCAGGCCATACATCGCGTCGCTTTCAGGGGATGCCTTAGTATTAACCCAATTTTTTAAATGATTCATGTCATGATTATTTGACAAGTTTTACGTTGGTTGATGACTACCTAACACAACCCTCCATTTTTCTCATCGAGAACTTGAGACGTGATAAAGGCAATGTTCAATTTTGCTCTATTTAGCACATGCAATTTCGTACATTCCGGATTTATGTTTCTACTATGCTGTAACCCATTTTCTATTGATAAAAATATAGAAGCGAGGAATTTTAGGTACAAGTCTTAGTTCCCATCTAATGAAAGCTGAAAGTTCTTTCTAAATTATTTGAAAGCTTTAATTTTTCTTAGGTCCCATCAAACGAAAGGTAGAAGTTCTTTCTAAATTATTCGAAAAGCTTACATTTTCTTAGATTAAAATTATTCATTAAACTCGGACTGGTTATGGCTGGTGGCTTTTTGTTGCGATATCCTGCAATATATTTGTTGTACCTTTTCTACAATGACTTGCATTCTTTAATTAATTTCTTTATTTTCTTGAATATTTTTTTCAGTGACCAAAGACGAATTGAAGAGATTACAGCAGGCCTTGAAAATTCTTTCTGATGCTGAAAGACAGCTAAAACAGTCGAGTGAACAATCCTCATTGCTAACAACTGCATTGCTTCAGCTTGCTTCGGGCAACAATATGGAGTCTACTCAACCTAACACTATTGGGATGCTTGCCAATGAAAAAATTAAGGAGAACATGAAAATATGCTCCTCAGATTGCCATAGGTCCCACAATTTGCTTGCAACTCGGGATTCAAGCTCTGCCTTAGATCCTAGAAAAATGAGTGAAAATTCTACCTCTGATGATTTCCAGAAATCTCTTACAATGCCAAAGGGTCATGATCCAATCTCGAATGATGTCCCAGCTAAAGTTCAATCAACTAAGAGAAGATCATCAAATAAAGCTCACTTAGATTGCAATGCTAATGGAAGCCTTTGTAACTTATCTGAGATTTGGAGAAGTTGTATTGGAAAATGCTTTTCAAAGACATTGAGGCAACTGCTATCATCTCATGGAAAGCTTATTTCAATAACTGAAAATGAAGGTAAACCATAACTTCCATTGTCCATGCTACACATCTTTTTAAATCTGTAATTAACTATTCAGTTAACTGATTTACTTGATTGCTTCTTTGATTTTCTTTAGTTACTGTTCGGAGCAACTTTGTTTTGAAACTCAAATCTGTTTTTTTTTTTCCCCTTTATACTGCTTTAGGTTAAAATTTATGACGGCTTAAAAGATAGTATTTTCTAATTAACTTAAACTACGCTTTCCAAATATCATGCATTCTTTGTTTGACTTAACAAGCTCATTTCCGACAAATGAGTTCTTTATTCAACTAACATGAAGCTTTTTTACTGTCACATGTATCATATAACAATAAACTATGCTCGTATTGACAAAAAAGAAATAGCTAGTACACATAAATTTGTGCAGGTCAGAGCCTTGTATTATAGTTGCACCTATACACCGAAATTATTCAGTATTTCTCTAGAATGAAGCTCTCAATCCATATTGAGGCCTTAAAACAACTCGTGTTTCACTCTATTGTGAGCTCCAAAAATTTGCGTTGAATCTGCTGAAAGAGCTTTATGGTTTTGGGTAAAATTTTTAGAAAGCATATTAGATTGCATATAAAACACTAGCTAGATATTTTGCTTTCAGTATGCGATGACTTTATGATCTGATTTTAGGTCTTCTTTTGATGCAAACCCTTATGGTTAACTACTTCTCCTAGTGATCAGAGAGAACTTTTGATTAAAGCCAATCGTTTGTGCTAAGTGCTTAGTGTATAGTACCTTCAAAATTATTTTAAGATTGAGAAATTTATCATAGTAATCTTAGGGGGGATGATGGGGCAATGATAACGAATCTGATCTATATCCTATGGTTTCGTCATCATGGGTTTTTGTGGACCTTAGTTTCTTTAGTTGGTAGAGGTAGTCGACCTAACATGACCGAATGATCATTAATGCTTGCCATAGATTGCATTGTCCAATGGGATCTTATAGACCCGGGGTGGATGTTTATCTGTTGGGATAAATTGACTTTAGCTAGCAGAGGATTTTGTGTCCTATTAAATGCACTATATGATTCGCCACTTAGGTAATTTGGAGCCATTGGAAAACTTTTTGTCACATTAAACGGAGGCCTTCTGATGACCCGGTTAGGAAAGTTTAGGCATTAGATTTAATTTATGTTAAGAAATGTAGAGGTAGACCTAAAAAGACTTGGTTACAAAATATTAGAAATTATATTTCTTTATTATATTTAAATGAGAATTTGACTTTTAACATGACACAATGGTGAAAAAGGATTAATGTAGCCGACCCCACGTAGTGGGACAAAGGCTTGATGTTGTTGTAGTTGTGGTGGTGGTGGAAAACTTTTGGTCTTTGGTCGTGATCATAATTTAATGGTGTCATTTTGCCGCGAAATCATTCGGTTAGAGGGCTATTATTAAACCATTTAACTGTGGTGCTATTTGACGATAAAATCATTGATTAGATGACATGCATGACATTTTTTCTAGTGAGAGATCATTTGTGAGTCAATATAGTAATACACTAGGCAAGACATTGGTTCTTTGTGAATGGAGGTTATTCTTATATTTGTCTCATTTGACAAATTATTGCAAAGGACGGATGGATTATTTGCTTTATTCTTTTAGGGAATAAGTTTTTTCTAAATTGAGGTTATCCTTAAATTTGTCACCATTAACAAACTATTGTAAACGAATAGATTATTTGCATCATGCTTTGAGGGAGTAAATTTTATTTGAATATTTTTGCTTATTTTATATTTTTTTTTGTATATTTATAATTATATTTAACATTGATAGTTAATAATAGTCCATTCTTTTTATTTTGGCGACGATTTTGGGACCTGACTAATGCATGCCACAAAATCTTTCATGAACTTCAATTATATCTTATCAACTTCAGTCTCTAAATATCGTAGCCACATTTAATTAAATGATCTACGATAATGAATATAATTGACAAAAGTATACCTCACTACTTTTTTCCTGCTCTTTGCAGCTAACGATTTATTGCTGGTAGTTTGCCTTATTTGAAGTAGTCAGCAAAAGGCTATCTCTAATTGTTTTACTCTTATACCATGAAGGCCTCCTATTTTTATTTTGGAGCTTTATTAGATTCGTTGTCACACCCCATTTTGACTTCTCCTTTACAATCAACTTGGAATATAACAGAGAAGGAAAATCTAAATAGACCCCTTCTTACTAACACCCATTCTGACAACTTCTATTAGAATCAGATAAGTAAAAAATAATCTATTTAGACTCTCATAACATATTAAGCTTTATACTTAACAACATGAGTCAGATATACCTCAATTAAACTCATATATAATCAAAATAAATAAAGAGCTTTGCTAGAGAAGTTTTTAAAATTTATTTACATACCCCAAATGTCTTTATACAGCCTCCACTTGAACATCTATGTACATCCAAAATATATGTATACCAAAAAGAGCAGCCACCCTTTTTTGTCTAATAACCTACGGACTCTTTTCCCTTTCCTGTAGTACAATTACTGCTAATGAGCTAGAACTCAATGAAATACATAAGCAATGCATAAGAAATAATAATAATATTGTTAACAATTAGTTTAGAGCACATTGGAATTCCATACTGATCATAAGAAATGCATAACATTACTTTCCATCTTGTTAGTTGTTCCACACCTTTAGACAAGTCATATGATGACTATAAGTTTTTGCCCTTTTAGCTTTCCAATTCAGAGTTGAGTTTGAATTTCCAATTTTTAGAATTGGAATGACTCTCTCATTCAAGATTGGGTCCGAATTTTCAACTTTTAAAATATTGAGTGTAGGCTTACTTCATCAAATACTGTCGTTGCCAGGTCTCAAGTCCTAGATGAGAAAAGTGAAGGGTTATGTTAGGTAATCGATAGCCAGTGTAAAACTTGTCGAATAATCATGACATGAATCTTTTTAAAATTTGTGTTAATGCTAGGGCGTACATTGGAACCGACGCGCTGTATGGACTGAATACAATGACAAGTGTGCAAGGGTCGCTGCACTGACGCCCAAGTGCAGTGTTAAATAGGCAAGGGTTACCACACCAAGGAGGATGTAGGCAAAGAAGCTAGTCCATAAAACTAAAATTATGATAGGAACTTGGAATATATGTTCTCTTACAAGAAAATCTAAACCGATGGACAACTTCAAAGGGAAGCCGTAAGCTCTGTCTTAAACCAAACTATTGGGTAACTTCCAATGGAAGCCGTAAGCCACAAACCAAATACAAACCTATGGGCAACTTCCGAAGGAAGCCGTAAGCCCCGAACCAAACTTAAACCTACAAGCAACTCCTAAGTGGAGTTGTAAGAACTAACCTAAATCAAATTTCCTAAACACTATGATCAATGATTGCTATTATTTGTAGACTCAAACTTATGGTATTCCCGGGATGACGAAATTATGGGATCTTAATCGGGTCTATCTACATCCCCAACAAATGAGACTAAAGCACCTAAAACTATTCATCCTTAATCGAGAATTATGAGAGAAGAGGTTGAAACCCTTGCAATTTTTCTTTGACATGTTAATGAATTATTCATAAATAAATAGAATTTTTAGGACTTTACCCTGAGGATAACAGAGGGACTTTAAGCCTCCCTCTTTCTGTTTAGCTAACTGTCATGAAAAATAGTAGTGCTTGCCTGTCATCTATGAGAACTGCATTTGATTTTCGTGATGTATGTAGATGCTAGAATCACACTAAGTAGATTTCCATCATTATGGGTTTCATCAGCATCATTCCTCAGGTCCTTGAGACGACTCCGGATAGCACCTTACCACTTATGATAAAAAGAAGTCTTATTCTTTGCAAAACAGTATCTCTTGTAATACATCAAGTATCTTTATATAGGCATAAAATACCGTTCTAGCCAAATAAAAATACTTAACAATCGAAATAATTAAAATATTCCCGGCCTAATTACCTATGTATTTTCTCTTTTGAATCTAGACGTGATACTTCCCTGCATCATTCTTTTTATCTGTTTGAAATTCTCTTAATTGAGCTGAAAACAAGACTTTGAGGTCTCCATTTTTATTTTTATTTACTTTGACATACATTGACTGCATATTAGGTGAACTTCTCAGTTCAAGGCCAATTAAAAATCAGAGGTGTTGCTCTCTGTATTCACTTCTTAAAACATGAGCTTATCCATCATGCCATGTTAAAGTTGTTTTTCTGTTGTGCTAAATTTTTACATGCCCCACTTTGCAGGTGCTTTGATTGCTTTCATTGCATTTGCAGATAATAACATAAAATTGAGAGCTGAAAGGTACTTGAGCAGCATCACAAACTCATTGGAGCTAGTCCTGAAGCAGAATGTAGAAGTCACTATGGGTCTTGTTCCTGATAATTGGAAGAGTCTAGAACCTCCACTTGATTCCCTAACCATACAGCATAAGGAGAAATCGGGTTTCTTAGATGATCCGAGGAAGATAATACCTGATGGAATTAAGGGCTTGCGTGATAAATATGGCAGAACTCTTAGCTTTCCTAGGAAAAGTAGAGACGCTTCTGTTGGTTCCTGTCACACTAAGGGAGAGAAATATTGCAGCCTACTGGTTCAAGATGATGGCCTTCCGCTTGAAAAATACTCAGTTTCTGCAGATGGAAATAATGGTTCTTGCACAAAAGAAAAAGGAATGGAGATTGCCATCATCAAAACTCATTCACAGGTTTGCAATGAGGAAAGACTAGAGGATGCACGGCTTCAAGCTGCTGAAAAGGTTGCATCTGGATTGCCAAATCTGTCAAAAACTAAAAAGAATCAAACCATTCCTCAAAATATTGGAAGCAGTCAGCTTTATTGTGATCCGTTGTTAGCAAATGATAAACCATCTAGACACTGGGATGATGAGCCAATTCATGAAATCAAAGGTCCAGAAATAAATGATCTTCTAGTCTTACACAAGACAGAAAATGGTGACGATAAGAATCGGTGTGCTATTTCACCAAGCATACTGCATAGTAACAGCTTTTCAAACAATTTTGACAAACAAAACTCGTTAGTTCTTATTCCTGTGTGAGGATTTTATTCATTCATTGATTTGCCTGATTCTATATTGTGCTTTGCTATGCTTTTCCTATCAGAAATTTTATTTGATTACTAACTTTGAACAAACAAAATTAACATTTCTACGTTAAAGCTTCTATGTTGATATTTTCCCTAATAGATATGAGTTTCTAGTATTACTTGTTACAAGCCAAGTAAGCAGAGGGATACTCAGCAACTTGTGATTTTTATCCATTCAGCTGAGACCTTTTATTGGTTACTACCCCTCCAAAAAGTATATGGGCATTGCAATTGGCAGCATGTATATAGTAATTTAGTTTCACTTGTAGAAATATTGTAATTGTAGTGTGACTTGTATATTGAAGAATGAATTGAAACCTCTATAGAAATCTTCATTTCTCTATCTTGTTTCCCAACATCACTTCCCCCTTCTATATTCATATTTTCATTTATGTATTATCATACCCCAATTAAACCCTTTGTTTTCAGTAATTTGAATGCACAATATCTGCGGTCAAATGGAAAGTAGAAAGCGCAATATGATAACGGATGGTGGTGGCACATCATCATTAATGATAACAGAACCTGACACTTCGATTTTGTTTGGGATGACTTTCTTACTGCTTCTTGAAGCGGCTTTCTAGTACAAGAATTAAAATTTTTGTACTAAAAAGTCGCTTCAAGAAGCAGTAATAAAGTCGTCCCAAATGAAACCTTATTTTCACCTGCGATGCTTGTTATGTACAAGGGTAGGAAGAGGAGATGACCCAAGTTAGTAATGTTTCTCAAAATATTTGAAAACTAAAACTAAAAGTTAGTTTTGGCATAATTATAGAGGCAAAGTAGAAATCTAACCTTTGACATATTGGGTGTAGGTGATGCATGAAACTTTTTGTTTTGAAATATTCATCTAATATTCTTCAGGTGATAATGAGGCTCTATCTGGAAATTTTATGGAGAGTACTTCCAATAGTTCAGTTAGAGGATGTTCCTCAGTCTCGGTCCAATATGAACTTAACTAGTTCACTATATTGTACAGGGAATATGAATCGGGACCGGGTTGTAATGGGCTCTTCTGTTGGAAATCCAACAGGCCACACGGAAGACAGGTAGAGTTATCTATTTGATCTCCGTTTATGAGATGAATTGTGAAGAAGATTTCTTCAAACTTGTTATGAACTTTTTTGGTTGGGTCCAGGTGAAGCAAGGAACCCATCTCAGCTCCTTCAAGACCCACCACATGTTTGGTAAGCGGGTAAAGTCAAAGACAGGAGGAAACAGATCAATGAGATAACTTCATGAGCTGGAATCTTCGGTCTTATTCTGTGCATTGTTTTTATCACAATCCTGCAAATCTCACTCGATCCATCTCTTCTGAAGATTAAAGGTAACATTATTGCTCCTAGTCTGCTGACTGATTTTTATGTTTTGGACTTTTTTCATATAAATAGGAATAATTAATCAAGGTTCGTGTATGGCACCATTAAATGTTTGCAAAGGACTTAAAGTTGGACATCCAAATCTGTGTATCATCTAAGGTTCATAATTGAATTGTTTATAACAAATTTGTGAAATTCTTATGTTATACTCTAGGGATTGTTGAGTTAATTATTGCATTGTAAGGGTTCAAGGTGGTTGCGTTGCATGGATTGAACTTTTTTTTAATTATTCTACTTGGATTATTTTCCGTAGGTTTTACATATATAGGGTTTGTAGCATAATTCTTCAGCACAACTGATTCTTGTGGGCTCCAAAAATTTGAGTTTTTAGGTGCTGACCTCTTTGCATATATTCGGAGAGAGTTTTAATGGATGATATATTTTGGAAAAATTTTTGGAAGATTAATTAGATTAGAGATAAGACACTATTTAGAGATTTCTTCCTCTTAGCAAAGACATGGTTTCCTATAAACACGAGCCCCTATAATTAATTATCCCTCTCGATAACGAGAAAATACTTTTTTGATTAAGTCTAGTAGTTAAACAGATACTTAGTATCCAACATATAGTAGCAGTGGATTCATATGTTTAAAATTTAACATTTAAAATAAAAAATTCACACTTTTCCCTTAAAGTGGATGGTGGGGGAAAGATGATTGACTAGATCAAGATCCCGTGGTTTCGTCGTCCTAGGTCATCATGTTCCCTAGTTTACTTAGAGGAGATAGTCAATCTAACCTGGTCGAATAATACTTATTGGCAGCCATGGGTTACTTTGTACAATAGTACCTTTTAGACTTGGGGTTAGTGTTTGTCTAAGTGACGAATTCAAGTTAACCTTAGCTAACAAAGAGATTGTGACCTATCGAGCATACTCTATAATTTATTACTCAATGGCAACTAGCATTGGGGAACATACAGGCTTTTTGCTATGATCGTAATATAGTGGAGTCATTCAACCAAGCCATTAGTGTGGGCTCCGAAAATTTGTGCCCCGACCTCTCCGCGGCCCTTTCTTTTTATTTGTCCGGGAGAAGAGTTTTAAAGAGTTTATGTTCCAGGGTAAATTTTCAGAAGGAAGATCAAATTTTAGATAAGATAATATCCAGAAATTTCACCCTCATTTTGCGAGGATTTTATGATATGAGTTTTGGTTTTCTATAGGCGCAAGCCCTTATAGTTAATTACCCTTTTCTGGCTAGTCGTTGAACATATACGTAGTATCCAACACGAAATAGCAGTAAAATTAGATATTAAAAATTGAAATTTATCACCACACACTTAAAGTGGATGGTGAGGGTAATGATGATGAACCCAATCAAGATTTTATGGTTCCGTCATTTCGGACCATCATGCTCCCTAGGCTACTTAGTTAGAGGAGGTAGTCGACCCAACTTGACCAAATGATCCTTGTTAGTAGCCATGGGTTGCTTCGTCCAAAAGTACCTTATAGACTTAGAATGAATATTTACCCAAGTGGACATATGTGAGTCCACTTTAGCTAACAAAGGGCTCTGTGTCCTATCAATTATATCTTATTAATTCATTACTCATGGATTTAAATCTATTGAGAAACATATGTGTTCTGGCCATAACCACAATTTAGTGGTACCATTTGGTGACAAAATCATCCGATTAGAGGGTTCCGACCATTTAACTGTGGTGTCATTTGGCTGTGAAACCATCAATTTGACGATAGATGTAATGTCTTTACTGGCAAAAGATGGATTGAAAATGAATCATAATAATATTCTCGACTAGAAATTCACTCTTTGTCAGCTAAAGTGATTTTGAAATTTATCCACTTTGATAAACATTTGTAGAGGGTGGATGAATTTTTGTTTTAAGTTTAGGTGATTATATTTCATTTCAAAATTTAAATTTTGATTATTCGTATGTTTTGGATTTTTTTATTGAAATCAAAACTCCTAATGATTAATTTTGATATTTGAGAGTATTTTAAAAGTTAGGGATCCTTCGATTGAGATTACCATCATCGGGGAGACGTTGTAGTCATTTGAAAATGTTTGTATTTATAGAAATTTGGAGGCATTTGAAACTGTAGAATTCCTTTTGGTTGAGATAAATATTCAACATGGCCATTATCTGGGTTTAAAGTTCTAGTTATTTGAACCTTGTTTGAAAGAACTGGTCCAATCAATTCAAATATGAACCGGCCAGACTATGCATTTACCCCGCACGAACATAGGTTGAATGAATCGGTGAGCGGGCAAAATCGGTGGGGCCAAACGTGTGCTTGAACCTTCCTGACGGGGTCGATTCGTGATTATGTATAGATATTCACATACGGGAGTGAAAACTAAAGACTCGTGATAAATAATTTGGCTTTGCTCACTCCGTAAGAGAAAAAACACTTGAGAAGCTTTGTGTCGAAAAGGAAATGTGTTGAGAGGAAGAAGGAGAACAAACATATGTTTTCCAATTTTATTCATTTTTGTGCAAATTTCTTCCATTATTTAATCTTACTGTTAACCTTTTTTTTCCTCAGACCTAGGTCAAAGAGTTGACATAGTCAAATTGGATCAGGCTTAGACCCGAAGACCCTTGCCAAGGGGTTCAGGGAGTCAAGCCAAGTCTGCTGAGCCCAGACCCAAGTTCTGGGTCAACCTGGTTGACCAGGTCAACCAGGGTTGACCCAAATTGACCATAATTCCCTTATACTTGATTTCAAATATACTCAGAGTCTTCTTGGCTCTATCTCTCCCCTCCACTGGACTCAGTGGGTCAGACCCAACCCATTGGGCCTAGACTTGTGCCTTGGGTCAACCTGGTTGACCATGTCAATCCAGGTTGACCCATTAGACCCTTTTGAGTCCAAATCAAATTCAAATCAATTAAAACATATTCTTGGCTCGACCCCCATCCTCCTTGACCTAATTGACTGGGTTGACCAAGTTATACCTTGACTTGGTCAAACCAAGCCATAATTAGGTCAATTAGGCCCATTAAAGCCAAATTAAACCCATTTAATGCTTGGATCTCATTCTAAACGATTCCAAATTCAAAACCACGGCTTATTCTTATATTTTTCCCTCCTATTAGGCTGGGGATTCGATCCAAGCTGTTGATCTTGGCTCAAAGCCTTTGAATACTCTTTTTAGGGTTCCAAATAGGGGATCTTGCAAATTACTCTCCCTAGAGCCTCTTAACCCTAGATTTTCCGTGTGAGAGCTCTAGAGACTCCCTTCTTCCTTCCCCAAGTCAAACCCGACCACCTTAAGCCGGCGCGGTGAGTTCTTCGGAGACCCGAGAGCAAGGACGTCCCAAGGCGAATTCCGTTCAATCTAAGGCGTATCGAGGCTCGGTTTCAACTAGAGATTTGTGCGAGGACAATCTACAAGTGCAACCATACCAAGATCGCGAAGATCCAACGATGAAAACTCCTTAAAACCCTTAGAAAATAGCACATCACTTTGGGTTAAATAGTTTTCTAAAAAGCCGCTTTTTCTCCAAAAGACTTATTCCCCACGATTTCTATTCATCTTCTTGGCATATGTTTAAAATTTCATGAAGATCCATCGTCTGGATCGAGAGAACGAGGCATTTTTTTTGTTTCTAGGGTTTCAGATCGCATGGGTTTGAGCTATAAGTGATTCAAACCCGGATTTCGTTGTTCCGCGCATTTGTTCGGCCGCGGATGCCTTCGGTTGAATTGAGATCCCGTCCAACTCAATCTTGATCATTATTCCAACAACACGCGAGATCGAACGGCGGATACCCTATGCTGACTCGTTTAAGTAAAAACGTGTGGGGCCCGCCAAGACGGCACAATCATCGCCATTGATTGGCCCTCCGCCGCGCGTTTTGAACGCTCCAATCCAGCCCTGCAACGTGGCCCCGTCGCCGGTTTTAGTTTAATTAAATATTGTAATTATTTTTAAACCTATTTTAAACTCAGATTCCTTCTAAAATTAATTTAAAAATATTTTAAAACCCAAAAAATACGTATAATATATCGTTTCGATCGTATTTTCATCATCTATGATTTAAAATTGATTTTAATTAAAAATAATATATATTTTTTGAGATATTAAAAAAAAAGTAACATTATTATTTTAATAATAATAATAATAATAGATTATTATTATTATTTTAATTATTTTTATCATAATATTTTAATTATGTTTTATTGTTATTATTAATATTATTATTATTACTACTATTATTTAAATTAATCCTATTTTAAATTTATTTTATTATTATTTTTTATTTACTTTTTATTATTATCATATTATTATTATTATATATATTATTATTTATTAGTGTTATTTTAAAACTATTTTATTATCATTATTATTATTAGTATTATTTTAAAAATATTATTATTATGATTATTTTAATAAATAACATTGAATTCAATAAATTTATAGTTTAACTTAATTTTATTATAATAATATTATTAATTATTAATTGTGTTTAAAATTATTTTAAAATAGTTTTTATTTGTAAATTTAAAAAATCCATAACTATTTGATTTTAAATCGGATTTCGGTATGCGATATCTTCGTTTTTTAGAAAAATTATGTAACTTTCATTTTTAAAAATTATTTTAGTAATTAATAGTTTATTTTTTCAGGATTATTTTTGTGATATTTGAATTTTTCTATTATTGAACTATTATTTAAATAATTAATATAGTAATTATTTTTAAACTAAAAATTATTTTCAAACCCTTTTGAAACCTCGTTCGGGTGATCAGTGGATTTGCCCATATATTTATTTATTATAAAATTGATTTACTTTTAATTACACTATTTTTTCCAAAATTTTTATATTTATATGTATTTTAAATTATTTTAAAATTATCCCTAAATTTGGGAAATCCATTTCACAAAATTTTAAACTTAGGTTATGCATATGAAGAGCAATCATGGGGGAGTGAATTAGTGAATGATTGAGTCCCAATCATTCACTAATCACATCGTTA